CAAATTCATTCCTTAACAAGACATGTTACAGTTAAAAGACTTGAGTTCAAAACCTTACCTGCTGGGGCAATTACGTTTTACTCCAAGAAGAAGTTATTAACTAATTCATTTCGTGCATTTATTAAGAATCACCCTCCAGCAGAGATAGGATAGGCATCTCATTTGAAGCACCAAAAACAAAGTGAAGCTCATATTTGTTCAAGATAGATAGCGTGGCTTAAAAAGTCATTTTAGTGTTGGCTTAAGGAGATGTGAAGAGAGAGAGAACATCTCTAGCCCCCAGACATCTACAATGATCAAAATACAAGACACTTTGAGCCAAATAAGATATAATTCTACATTCCGATTCAGAATGACCTAGAAGAATCTGATTTAGACTGGATAAACATGTGAGCGAGGATCTTACTCACTGACTTACTTCAGCCTCCATTCCTCTCTATCCTTTCTGTGATTATAAAGATGAACTGGAATACACCTGTGTGTGCTCGTAATTAAAGCACAAGACAACTACCAAACTGATTTTAATTCACACCAAACGCTAAAGAGATGAACTGTTGTACTGAAATGCCACAGGAGGCCGATACTTGTCTAATACAATGTCTGGGTGTAGAGGAGATGGGTGGAAAAGTATTGAGAAAGTCTCCTTATTACACAGAAAGAAATCAGCAGCAAAGTTCCCCAAGCTTGGTGTGAAATGTAAATGAACCACAGTGACAGACTGAGAACTCATATTGCCTCAGTGAAGGTGTGTGTGTGTGAGGATGGTGATATACAGATATAGGCTGTAAATAGCAAAAAAGGTCTATATCTGGAAATAGCTGCCAATGCCTGGGGAAGATGCATACTGGGCTGTGTATGTGTGTGGTGTTACAGAAGGGGTTCAAACCCAGGTCTTCTGCACACTAGAAGAGCACATTAGTCCGCTAAGCCAAAGTCTAGGCATAGAGATGCAGGAGGGGGATGCTGGAGGACGCTGACTGACAGAAGAAGAGGCCTGTGTGTTCTACCGCTGGATGTTCCCTTGCCCTTTTTCAGTAGGTTGGATCTCTGCAGAGCAGAGCAGAGCGTGGTGATCACTGCAGTCCTATTTATCCAGCCCCTTGCTCTTATGTCTTCCCCCTCATCCCACACCATGCTAATTACACTGCCAGAGCCACGGACGTCAGGGATGGAGGAGGACAATAAGAACAGTGGTGGTGCTCTCTGTTCAACATTAAGCCTGTAATTTCACCACAGCTCAAATGATCATCTAAGCAGAGCCAAGTTTCCTCTGGATGGATGGAGGAGGGGTTTTATATACCAGCAAGAAGGTGCTGATGGTGCAACAGAAACAAATGTTATTTTATGTAGGATTATTTGGGAAGTTAGTGAATACATGAATGACTAACAGGGAAGATGGAAGATGTGTGTGGCACATGAATGAGACGGTATGGGAGAAAAACTGCCTCAAAGAAAACCAGCTGGCTGAAAACCACCGTGATGTGAGAATTCATGAAAACAAAAATCCAGTGGAGTAGGCAGAAATCCGTTGATGGCAGGACCAGCAAAAATTTAACTGGGACAAAACATTTGCAATCAAATCATCATTAAATGATCATAAAAGAATAGCCTACCATGCCCTCCTGTAATTGATTGCACACAACTAACATGTGATTTCGCAATACAGACCAAATATTCTTATAGCCCTACAGTACGTAAATCTATGACTCTTGCATTTAACATGTGACTCACATAGACCTACACATAATAACACATAGCCTATAATGAATAGATTATGAGACTAGAACATAATGCCCTGATATAACAGTAATAATCACAATAGACAGCCATAGCCTATATAGACTAGAACAGTGGTCACCAACCCTTTCTTAGTCGAGATCACTTTATGAGTCAAAATGCAAACTGAGTGTAATTCTCTGCTGGGTGCAGGAGATCAAGTGTGCCTACAATGTATTTTGTGATATCAATGAAATGATCAATAGTCTATAAGGCCTAACTATAGCACATGGGTGGAGAAGCACAGAGCAAAGTTCTATTTCCAAAACTCAAGTCTCAAGCTAGGCAATATGATAAGACTGATAATAGGTCCGTTGTTGTAGCTCATCGTAGCATAAATGGAAGTCACTTTTTTATTTTTTTCACTGGACTGATGGTTGAAGTGGAGAAGTGTGTTTCATGAGTTCTAAAAGCGTTGAATAAAAGCATTGTTGTAGCGATGATCATGGTCTCTGAATGTACTGAAACTGTCTTTAAGGCCCAAGATTAGATCAATGCAATCAGTGATTGATATAGAGGGGGACTGGAAGCCCTTCGTGGCGAAATCACTGATATCAAATAACTTGGCAAATGCTCCAACATCCTCTTCTATACACAGACTCTTGAAAAAATTTAACAATGAGCTTTGTTTGGCCATTTTACTGTTTTTTGCTAGCCAAGTTGGCTAGTGAGTCTTGGCTAGCTAGCGAACGGTGAGAAGCCTACACAGTGTAGCCTAGCCTACACAGCGATAGTTACTGTTTACTGCACATGGTATCAGTGCGAAGTGACACATGCCAGAACCCACCCATTATTTTGGAATTGATAAGTAATTTGTTTTTATTGTTTTTTCCCCCGGTAAATAATCAAGCATAATTCAAATTCATTATATAGGCCTAAATGAAATATATTTAATGTACAGCACTAGATTTTATGTAAGATGTCTTTGAGTGTCCTGAAAGGCATCTGACAAATAACATGTATTATTATTATTATTATTATTATTATTAGTAGTAGTAGTATTACTGAGCATACAAAACATTAAGAACACCTGCTCTTTCCATGACATAGACTGACCAGGTGAATCCAGGTGAAAGCTATGATCCCTTATTGATGTTACTTCAATCACTGTAGATGAAGGGGAGGAGACAGGTTAAAGAAGGATTTTTAAGCCTTGAGACAATTGTGTACGTGTGCCATTCAGAGGGTGAACGGGCAAGACAAAAAACGTAAGTGCCTTTGAACGGGGTATGGAAGTAGGTGTCAGGCCGGTGCACCGGTTTGTGTCAAGAACTGCAACATGCTGGGTTTTTCATGCTCAACAGTTTTCCGTGTGTATCAAGAATGGTCCACCACCCAAAGGACATCCAGCCTACTTGACACAACTGTGGGAAGCATTGGAGTCAACGTGGGCCAGCATCCCTGTAGAACGCCTTCGACACCTTGTAGAGTCCATGCCCCCGACGAATTGAGGCTGTTCTGAGGGCAATATATATATCCCTTTAGTTTCCCCACCCCCTCCCTACCCCCACCCCCTCCCTACTGCTTGCTATGAATTGCATTTCATGGTGTATGCATGTTCAGGCCAGTGCTTGACTTGGACTGAGAGAGGCGCCGGTACTCATTTTGGGTGCTGGTACCATTTATATTTAGGTGCAGGAAATATTCTATAAGAGGTGCAGGAACTCAAGCAGAATAACATTTTAGGTGCCGGTACTCAGTTCTTGTAAGCTCCTGCCCAAGTCAAGTGCTGTGCTTCGGGTAAAAAGACAAATAATGACCTGTTGAGAACACTGACAAGTAGAGAATACATTTTTTGGGGGGCTCAATCTGATTGGGTGGGCCTGGCACCCAAGTGGGTGGATCTACGCCCACCCGTGTCCACCCGTGCCTATGCCCCTGCAAAGATCTACACCACCTTGTAGACAATGGATAAAAGTGTCAGTTAGGTCAACTGGAGGTAAATCATGTACAAACTTGCTGCTGTTTGAGACTGATGTTGAGATACAGGAACTCCTGCAGGCAGCACACTAGAGTCTCATGTCTAATCTAACCTGTCTGAATAGATTTACACAGGAATGTGAGTAGGTAACTGCATGCCATATGCAATAGGCTACCGATTAAAGCAAGATCACAGACACTTTTGTTATTCTAACCTATATTACTCCCATGCATAGTGGCACATACAATACACTGTAGCCTGCTGTCAGATAGCAAACTAATCTTTCTCTATCAGTTTATGTAGAAATTAACTAAGGGCTCGATTCAATCCGTAGCACTGAAGTTCCGCGTTACAGCATGATTGAAATTTAAAGGCAATGTTCCCGCGTTCGCAGAGACTGCATTCACGGTAAACTATGCAGATGTTGGCTCAATCGGAAATTACCTTTACATTTCAAGTGCGCTATAACGATACAGATTGCATCAAGCCCTAAGATATTTGGATATATTGACAGACAAGATCAGGTACATGTCCCTAGCTTCCTCTGAAGTTCTCCAAACTCCATCCATATCTCTGGAATCACTACTTGACTTCTATCCAGTGATGCAGTGAGATAACCACACACTGAGAGTACCACAGTTCAGAAACAGACTTCAGTGGTGTCTGGCGACATCTAGTGGTCATAATACAACACTAACATTCCCCATTATGATTCACTCCTAAATACATTTGATTTGAACAAAATGCCATTGATCTCATGTAGTTTTCTAGTCAATAGGCTTTAATCAATAGGTCATTAAAGAATGAAAACAGTATTTGATAACTACCCTGCATGTGGAGCCATTGGCCATTGGCACACTACCCTAGCCTCCTGTAGCTCAGTTGGTAGAGCATGGCGCTTGCAACGCCAGGGTTGTGGGTTCGATTCCCACGGGGGGCCAGTATGAAAAATGTATGCAATCACTAACTGTAAGTCGCTCTGGATAAGAGCGTCTGCTAAAATGACTAAAATGTAAAAATGTAAAATGTCTGCTACATGTGGAGTCATGGTTATTAAGGATGAAACCAGTACCAGTCCCCAGGCTGGCTGGCAAGCTGCTGTCCAGTACCATCACCCTGACCCTGTATGAACACACTACCATGTGGAGTCATGGTTCTCTCCAGGTGTCCCTGAGCTGGATTTGGGATCATTACAGATGGCCCTGCTGCCCGCTGACCCTAATCCTCCTAATGATCTTACAGCCAGTCAGCAGGCAACTAAAACCTACCTGCCCTGCCCTTTACTGTAGTGTTATCCCATCCCCTGCTTTCAGGCCAGTGCTGGACACAGCACGGAAAGGGACAGGGGAAAACACTAACAACAACAGCCTTTCCTCCTGGGCTCTCTCAGGGAAGAAATGATTCTGCAAAAATTCAAGCTAGAGGAATTTGCCAAACCTGTGAGTATTATAGATGTATATCATCATCACTTACCTATCTCCTTCCTAGTTGTGTTGTATCTTATTGGGATTATATATATACACTGACTATACCAAACATTAAGAACACCTTCTTTATATTGAGGTACCCCCCCCTTTGCCCTCAGAACCTCAATTTGTCGGGGCATGGACTCTACAAGGTGTCGAATGTGTTCCACAGGGATGCTGGCCCATGTTGACTCCAATGCTTCCCACAGTTGTATCAAGTTGGCTGGATGTCCTTTAGGTGGTGGACCATTCTTGATACACACGGAAAACTGTTGAGCGTGAAAACCCAGCAGCATTGCAGTTCTTGACACAACCGCTGCGCCTGGCACCTACTACCATACCCAATTCAAAGGCACTTAAATATTTTGTTTTGTCCTTCACCCTCTGAATGGCACACATACACAATCCATGTCTCAATTGTCTCAAGGCTTAAACATCCTTCTTTAACCTGTCTCCTCCCCTTCATCTACAATGATTGAAGTGGATTTAACGTGACATCAATAAGGGATCATAGCTTTCACCTGAATTCACCTGGTCAGTCTATGCCATGGAAAGAGCTCATCATGTTCATACTGTTTTGTACACTCAGTGTATATTGGCGGTAGGACACATTGTATGATGCTTATTAATGTACACATGCAGTGAAATTATCAGACATTGCTTGTTATATGCGGTCTATAACCTTTTCAGGAATGAATGACACTATTTAGAAGAGGAAGAAATTATTGGTTAAATGTGTACAATGTTTGCATCAGTTTCTGTAATGTACAGCTATATTATAGGTTTACATTAACCACTATCTTCAGGAAATTGTTATTCTGATTAATTAGGTGATTCATTAGTTTAATGTTATACAAAATATATGAGCTACTTTAACAGTCTTTATGAGCTGAGAAATCACAAAGAAAATTGCATTTTCCTCATAAAACTAATGAGAATATTGAGATCTGTGGAAAACAATCTCAAGTAAGATATTTAATTCTTGATATCAAGGTTTTTTACTGAGCAATCATTCAGTTATGAATGTTCCATTCCTATGCCAATGTTTTTGAATGAATTGAAGCTTTAAATTGGCTATCTTTGTGGAAATCTGCAATGGAATGTTGAACTCAACAAGACGTTTACAATGAGTATACAAAGTAAGACAGTTCGACAACCTCTAGAGCATACAGTATTTAACATTGATGGGTCTGCTTTATAAGTATAAGTATTCAATACTTTGCTATAATTTCATCTGACGGCTTTTCAGTGTTGATTGTCTGTGTTAGATATTCATGTAATGTAAGCGAGTGAGTGATATTAATTTGTGAGTGATGTGTGTTTTGGTGCAGGGCTTGCCCCGACCAGAAGGCCTGCTGACCTCTCAGGCTAAAAATACCATGATGCATCTCACCGGCCAGAACCACCGGCTGGCGTCTAAAAATGTATGTGATTCCAAAACACCTGGCCTCCATCTGTCAGCTACACAGGGAGGGGAAGAGGAGGAGGTGGTGATGGTGAGTCGGCTTAAGCCTGGCTCTGCCATACTGCCAACTCTGGGCCTAGAGGGCCCTGCCACCCAGAGAGACTCCTCGCTCCTGGTCAGGTATGTATTATGTACTGTTGGCTCACTTGGCTGAGGCAGCTGTACATGTATTTTAAATTTGTCAACAAAAAATAATTTGTTCATTCATTCATTCATTCATTCATTCATTCGTTCATTCGTTCATTCGTTCATTCGTTCCTTCCTTCCTTCCTTCCTTCCTTCCTTCCTTCCTTCCTTCCTTCCTTCCTTCCTTCCTTCCTTCCTTCCTTCCTTCCTTCCTTAAATCCTTCCTTCCTTCCTTATTTATTTCCTTCCTTCCTTTCTTCCTTCCTTCCTTCCTTCCTTCCTTCCTTCCTTCCTTCCTTCCTTCCTTCCTTCCTTCCTTCCTTCCTTCCTTCCTTCCTTCCTTCCTTCCTTCCTTCCGTCCTTCCTTCCTTCCTTCCTTCCTTCCTTCCTTCTTTCCTTCCTTCCTTCCTTCCTTCCTTCCTTCCTTCCTTCCTTCCTTCAGGTCCAGGTCTCCCCTGCCTGGCTCATCTCGAGAGAGGGAGAACCTGCCCCCGCGGCGGCCTCTGAAGCTGGCCCCTCTGGAGCTGCCCAGGGAGGTACAGAAGGCCCAGAGACAGAAGATGAAGGGGATTGGGCTGCAGGCCAAGACTGCTGCCCGCAAACTGGACACTACGGTAGGGGACCAACACTGCCACAGGAAGGTGAAGGCCTGTGGGGTGAGAGGAGAGGGACCAGAACTGGTTAAAGGTGCGGCAGAGTGTGTCTCCACCCCAGCCACACGTCCCCTACCCCTGACTGAAACAGCTCCCAGAGTCCAGCGACAGCAGAAGGTTCAGAGAGCGGATCTTGCTCATACCAACCCAATCCAGAGACAAACAGGAGACAGGCTCTCAGAAGACGCTGGTACTGCCATTAAAGACCTCCATCCTCCTCCTAGCAGCAAACCAGCCTCTCCCTCTGCCTCTTTCCCCGTCAGTGCCAAAGCTCAGGCCCAGCAGGCGGTAGCACCATATGGCGAGGAGAGCGTATGCCAAGCGACCGGCACGTTCCAGCAGGAGACCGGTAAAAAGAGGCTACGTCTGAGGAGGGCAGAGCGCCTCGAAGAGGATCAGAGCAAATCTAACATGTCAACAGGAGGATTACCTGGGGAAGAGGCCAAGCTGGCAGGAGGTGTCCAGCAGGGAAAAGCCCTGAGGGTAGAAAAGACAGAGAAGGCTCTGAGGACAGAGAAAGCCCTGAAGGAGGCCAGTCGCATGCTGGAGAAGGCTTCCAGGAAGAACGCCAGGCCGGAATCACCGGAGAACCCGCTGGAAGTGTCTGGAAAGGCCATCAGGAGAATGGCAGTGAGCAACCTCCAGGACGCTGTCCTTTGACCTCTGACCTCTGATCTTTGACCTCTTAACCCCTGACTCCTTTTGACCAGCCCAGGAATTAGTGAAAACAGACTTGATAGTGTTAAACGGTGTGTTTACTTGCGCTTATCACCTGGAGATTACTATAGAAAAGCCCCTGTATCTTACTTCACACAACATCTGGTATTCAAAGCAACAAGCCAGTTACCCTGGCAGGCAGTATGTACAGTATAGTATATAACACAGGATAAATATATTATGGACCAAAAACATACTTATTTATTTATTATTTTGTAGAAAGATGATGCTTGTAATAAAAAATGTTGCATACCAACATGGTTCTATTAGAATATGTCAAAAATAGTAACATTTAACCATTATAGATATTCTGATGAGATATGTCTGCATATGCAGGTGACATAATTATATTTGAGCTTCACAGAGTATGTAAAGCTATGCGAAACTGACATGCATTCAGGGATTATTATCAAGGACTCATCTGACCGATACATTGGCTTCATCTATGACCACTGAAACAGTTCCATCTAGTCCAAACAATGGCATTGATTCGTAACATATCAGAACTCACAAACAGAGCCGCAGCAGTAATCAGATGTTTACATTGACAACAGCAAATAAAGTTCATGAGATTTGAAATATGCCATTGTTATGTCTTTTCTGAATCAGCCACCCCATAGATTGGGTACTGTGTGTTTAGTCCTTCAGTTCATTATATCATCTTTCTGCACCTTAGCTACTTTGTCAGGTGTGCATTAGATTCCTGTAGTTCATATAATCTAAGAAGAATGCAGTAGTGGTGCGTGGGTAAAATCACAGGGGAAGCCAGAAGAAAAGCCATATTACAACCTATGTGTTGTGATAATTGCGTTGTTTGCTCTATAACCTGTTAGTTCATATGCCTTGACACCGTGATATATAGGACTAAGGCTGAGACAATAAGAAGACACAGTGGCAGAATAAATTCAACCACACCTTTGTTTCATCACAAAACCGGAGAGCAACATCTGTCCGGTGGAGTCCACAAATCATATTGCATGTAACAAACAGTTACATGACCTGCAGCATGGTCTAGCGAGTTAATGTTTCCAACATTTTCGGACCATTAAACAACTATTGATTTAGAACCACGGAGAGTTACCACAAATCGCAAAGAAAACAGGAGCTGCCTCCACTATTCTAACACCATTTCAACATCATCAAATCACCTATGGTTAATCTAATACAGTGACAATTAAAAGATACCAGAAACGATTTTGTCCAATCAACGTAAGCTAAATATGATATGGCTGTTTTCTGTGTGTGTGTGTGTGTGTGTGTGTGTATGTGTGTGTGTGTGCGTGCAAGTAGAAAAAACATGACTCACCCTACTTGTAGAGAAATGCCAATGCTATCCTCTCTTTCATGTTGATAAAACGGTCTATCACTCTGTCATACAGTACACCAGCTTTCTTCAATTCCGGTCCTGGAGGGCCGAAACACCTCTGTTTTTCATCCTCTCCTTCTAATCTGGGGCTAATTCAGACCTGGGACACCAGGTGAGTGCAATTAACTACCAGGTAGAAATAAAAAACAGAAGTGTTTCGGCCCTCCAGGACCGGAATTGAAGAACCCTGCAGTACACAGTTTTATATTTTGTTGTCCAAGGGTACCTGGCTAAATTGCATGCTCTCTAGCCTAACTTCCATTCATGGGCAACGTTAGCTAGTTACATTAGTTACATTAGCCTTCTACATCTAGCTACATATTGAACTGCAATCCTCTCACAAGAGGGGCACAACAATGAATGAATGAATGGTTGGATCAGAATCGCCATTATAATCATTGGCCAGTACTGAGAATTAAGTAAAACCACAAGTCCAAATCCCTATCTCCATCAATGGCTAATTTAGGAAAGGGCCAATTTTAGCTAGCTAACCACCGGAGGACAACAACAAAACGAGATGCAACAATTCAAGTTGTTTCTGTCAATGAGGTATGCTCTCAATGCGATTTGATAGGAGTGACGCCAAATCAAAACTGGCTTCCCTTTACACTTTTTTTGGTGTGCCAGGACCATTCACAGTTGAGCTCACTCAGTTTAGCTCAATGATGATTGGCTATTATTTAATACTTTTCAAGGGAGGGCAAATGCTCGCTGGCTTCCCTTGCATTCAATGCTATGGGCAGCAACAATGTCATACTCTTTTGGACCAGACAGCATCAGATAGATGTCCTACACATACAGAGGCAGAGGGGCGCTGTTTCGCTCGTTCAGATGCTTTCTCCGGTGAGATACATTCAGCTTCTTGCGAATTGAAGGAAAATTATGAAACACAGATAGACGAAAGATAAAAATGTTATATACATTGTAGAATAATAGGGAAGACATCAAAACTATGAAATAACATATAGTAACCAAAAAAGTGTTAAACAAATCAAAAGAGACTTTATATTTGAGATTCTTCAAAGTAGACTCCCTTTGCCTTGATGAAAGCTTTGCACACACTTGACATTCTCTCAACCAGCTTCACCTGGAATGCTTTTCCAACAGTCTTGAAGGAGTTCCCACATATGCTGAGCACTTGTTGACTGCTTTTCCTTCACTCAAACAGTTTGAGCTTCTACTTCTAAAAATCCACCTCTCCAGAAATAAGTCTATCACTGTTGCCGCTTGCTACAGACCCCCCCCAGCTGTGCCCTGGACACCATATGTGAATTGATTGCCCCCCCATCTATCCTCAGAGTTCGTACTGCTTGGTGACCTAAACTGGGATATGCTTAACACCCCGGCCGTCCTACAATCTAAACTAGATGCCCTCAATCTCACACAAATTATCAAGGAACCTACCAGGTACAACCCTAAATCCATAAACATGGGCACCCTCATAGATATCATCCTGACTAATTTACCCTCTAAATACACCTCCGCTGTCTTCAACCAGGATCTCAGCGATCACTGCCTCATTGCCTGCGTCTGTAATGGGTCCGCGGTCAAACAACCACCCCTCATCACTGTCAAATGCTCCCTAAAACGCTTCAGCGAGCAGGCCTTTCTAATTGACCTGGCCCGGGTATCCTGGATGGATATTGACCTCATTCCATCAGTAGAGGACGCCTGGTTGTTCTTTAAAAGTGCTTTCCTCTCCATCTTAAATAAGCATGCCCCATTCAAAAAATTCAGATCTAAGAACAGATATAGACCCTGGTTCACCCCAGACTTGACTGCCCTTGACCAGCACAAAAACATCCAGTGGCGTACTGCATTAGCATCGAACAGCCCCCGCGTAATGCAACTTTTCAGGGAAGTCAGGAACCAATATACACAATCAGTTAGGAAAGCAAAGGCTAGCTTTTTCAAACAGAAATGTGCATCCTGTAGCACTAACTCCAAAAAGTTTTAGGACACTGTAAAGTTCATGGAGAATAAGAGCACCTCCTCCCAGCTGCCCACTGCACTGAGGCTAGGAAACACTGTCACCACCGATAAACCTACGATAATCGAGAATTTCAATAAGCATTTTGCTACGGCTGGCCATGCTTTCCACCTGGCTACCCCTACCCCGGCCACCAGCTCTGCCCCCCCTCCGCTGCAACTTGCCCATGCACCCCCCACTTCTCCTTCACCCAAATTCAGATAGCTGATGTTCTGAAAGAGCTGCAAAATATAGACCCCTACAAATCAGCTGGGCTAGAAAATCTGGGCCCTTTCTTTCTAAAATTAGCCGCCGAAATGGTAGCAAACCCTATTACTAGCCTGTTCAACCTCTCTGTCGTATCATCTGAGATCCCCAGAGATTGGAAAGCTGCCGCGGTCATCCCCACAGCTCTCCTTCCGTAGCCTCCAACTGCTCTTAAACGCTAGTAAAACTAAATACATGCTCTTCAATCGAACGCTGCTTGCACCCGCCTGCCCGACTAGAATCCCTACTCTCGGCGGGTCTGACTTAGAATATGTGGACAACTACAAATACCTAGGTGTCTGGATAGACCGTAAACTCTCCTTCCAGACTCATATTAAGCATCTCCAATCCAAAGTTAAATCTAGAGTCGGCTTCCTATTTCACAACAAAGCCTCCTTCACTCATGCTGCCAAACGTGCCCTCGTAAAACTGACTATCCAACCGATCCTTGACTTCGGCGATGTCATTTACAAAACACTCTACTCAGCAAATTGGATGTAGTCTATCACAGCGCCATCCGTTTTGTCGCCAAAGCCCCATATACTACCCACCATTGTGACCTGTACGCTCTCGTTGGCTGGCCCTCACTACATATTCGTCGCCAAACCCACTGGCTCCAGGTCATCTATAAATCACTGCTAGGCAAATCCCCACCTTATCTTAGCTCATTGGTCACCATAGCAAAACCCACCCGTAGTATGCGCTCCAGCAGGTATATCTCACTGGTCATCCCCAAAGCCAACACCTCCTTTGGCCGCCATTCCTTCCAGTTCTCTGCTGCTAATGACTGGAACGAACTTCAAAAATCTCTGAAGCTGGAGACTCTTATCTCCCTCACTAACTTTAAGCATCAGTTGTCAGAGCAGCTTACCGATCACTGCACCTGTTCACAGCCCATCTGTAATTAGCCCACCCAACTACCTCATCCCCATATTGTTATTTATTTTGTGCATTTGCACCCCAGTATCTGTATTTGCACATCATCTTCTGCACATCTATCATTCCAGTGTTAATACTAAATTGTAATTATTTTGCACTAGGCCTATTTATTGCCTTACCTCCTTAACTTGCTACATTTGCACACACTGTATATAGATTTTCTATTGTGTTATTGACTGTATGTTTTGTTTTATCCCATGTGTAACTGTGTTGTTGTTGTTTTTATCGTACTGCTTTGCTTTATCTTGGCCAGGTCACAGTTGTAAATGAGAACTTGTACCTGGTTAAATAAAGGTGAAATAAAAATCAAAAATAAACTCTGCGGTCCAACTCATCCCAAACCATCTCAATTGGGTTGGTTGATTGTGGAGGCCAGGTCATCTGATGCAGCACTCCATCACTCTCCTTCTTGGTAAAATAGCCCTTACACAGCCTGGAGGTGTGTTGGGTCATTGTCCTGTTGAAAAAAAAA